ACACCAAAAACCCGCGCCAAACCCTCTTCACAGCATTCCTGGCCTGGAAGGGCCTTCTCCTCGCCGTCGCGCTGGCCAGCGGTTTGACTGGTCCTTCGTATGATACCTCGACCACCCTCGCCCTCAACCGCGTCGAGTCGTCCACCGCCTTTTCTCTCGTCACCCGGCTCACCCGCTGGGATGCCATTTATTTCACGAGCTCGGCCCAGCATGGCTACCGTTTCGAACAGGAGTGGGCCTTTGGACCTGGTCTCCCCGCCGTTGTTGCCGCCCTCGCTCACCCGGCCAAGTTTCTCGGCCTTGTGCCTGCCACGGATTCAGGGTCTTTTGAAGCCGCCATAGCCATTTTTGTGTCGCATGCGGCTCATTTCGCAGCCGTCTTCACGCTGTATGAGCTGGTCCAAACCGTCTGGGGCCCCCAGCGGCACCTGCCGCTGATCAGCGCCCTCATGCATATCCTGTCACCAGCGGGCCTATTCTTGTCTGCGCCCTATGCCGAGAGCTCTTTTGCATTGCTGTCTTTCGTTGGCTATCTCTTGCTCGCCAAGGCTTCTCAAACGTCGAGGAGCCATCTCTCCAGGACCGGTCTCCAGCTGTTAGCCGGCGCCGTATTTGGAATCTCGACAACGTTCCGCTCCAACGGCATCCTCAACGGACTGCCCTTCGCAGCTGAATGTGCCCTCGTCGTCCTCCAACCCTTCTTCGACGCGAACAGTCAGATTCCCGATGTACTCTCCCTTGTCGGGCCCTTGTTGGGTGGCATTCTCGTGGCCGCGGGCTCCATTGTCCCGCAGACCATCGCCTATGCACGCTACTGCCCCGGCGCATCCGAACCACGTCCCTGGTGTGCCAACGCCCTGCCAAGTATTTACAACTTTGTCCAAGCACACTACTGGTAATGTTTCTCCCCACTGCTTGCCGTCTTATAAGGTACCATGTAAGCTGACCTTGACAGGGGTGTCGGGTTTCTTCGGTACTGGACCCTCTCGAACCTGCCTCTCTTCCTGCTTGCCATCCCCATGCTGTCCATCATGATGAAGTCAGGTGTTGACGTACTGCGCTCGCCAGGCGGTGTGGGAGGCTCGGCACGTCAGCTGAACCTGCGCACTGGGCTGCTCATACGCTCCATGGCTGCCTCGCAGGTCCTGCTGGCTGTCGTAGCCCTGACCAATTATCATGTGCAGGTCATCACAAGGCTGGCATCTGGATATCCTGTGTGGTACATCTGGGTTGCGGGGTGCTTAGCAGGGGACAAGCAGGGAGCCAAGGTTTGGGGCGGCAGGGTCGTCGTCTATGCCGTGCTGTATGCTATGATCCAGGGAGCACTGTTCTCAGCGTTCCTACCGCCAGCCTGATGCTGATTTGCCATTCCCTCTTCGCCCATATACACCAACAATTAAACCAAATCTCAAGAGGTGGTGTCTCCCGTGACGAGATCTAGACTGTGACCAAATTGGCACGGTTGCCTTTCGGAACAACTTGATCAATGGTGCTGCAAAGGTCTGTCCGGAGCTCTCGGATGTGTCGGTCTGGGTTCACCTTTGCAGATGAATCAGGTCAACGTAATTGACCATGACCACTGCACAAAACCTACACCGACGTGGCTTATCTGATGTCTTGGCGCGACGTAAGAGATGTCTCAACGGTGAAACTTGGCCCAAGGTCTCAAGTACATTCGACGTGCCAAACCACGAGCCGGGCTGCAGCAACCATTGTTTGCGTAAGTTCAATCTTCCGCCTTGGCAAGCCAAGTCGGGTCAACGTGTCGTTCCATTCCTGGACTTGAAAACATCAGGCTCGAAATCAAGTTATGGTAGTCTCTGTCAAAATCATGCTTGAAGATAAAGCTCTGTTCTGCTTCGGCAGACGGCTCATTGGTTGGAGATATATGTACAACAGAATGATATGCCCGCTAACCAGAGCCAAAACATACACAACATGCCGGCAAGTTGCCTGCTGACGCAGCCAAGGTGTACCAACAACCAAAAACTGGGTGGACAACAGCCTGGTATGTATCTGACTGAAGCTCTTGGGTCTGAAACTTCGTCCATGACGGTCACACTCAAAGCTCCAGCTTCACGGCTCTCTTCTTGTTCTTCTTCGCACAGGCTGAAGAGACGGGCCTCCGCGTCTCAACCCAGGAGATGACCGTCGTGCTCTCCCCAGGCAAAAATGCGACGCTGCTCAGGGCATCAGCAGACGCAGTCGGCAGCGCGTCACTGGCGCTGCTGGCGCCCGTCGTCTCGGCAGCGGCAGCCGAGGACGCTTCGGCCGTGACGCCGGCAAACTCGGCACGTCCCACGCTGGAGGCCGACGCATCCGCAGCAGCCACGGAACTCGCCACAGGCCTGCGCACGACAGAGACGGCCGACGTTGCCGCGGGCGCAGCAGCGTCGGCGTTCCCCGCAGGCCTGTCTCCCGCCGCGCCCGCCGCCGCGGCCTCCTCTCCCCATCTGCCGCTGAACGTGGCGTTCATGCTCTGGCCGTCTGTGATGGTCAGGTCGTGGCCGTAGACGCCCAGCTCGACGGTGCCGTGGCCGGCTTTTGCCGCGACCATGGCGTCCCAGTCGAGGTCGCGGAGCGAGGGGCCTTCTTCGTCGAGCTTCTGGCACGCTGGGCTCTGGGCGACGCCCGCCTCGCCGCCGATGGTCTCGCCGGCTTGGACGTAGTTCTTGGTGTCGCGGACAATCTGCTCGGCCATGCTGGGCTCCCAGCCGTTGATGAAGTCGCCATGATACGTGTGGCCTGTTCTCGTCAGACAAGTTTCTCTCAACTACGCGGCCTGCTGGCTGGTGTGCTACTCACCCCCTCCGGACGAAAGAGTCAGGTACGCGCCGTCCTCAAAGTCAAACCAGTCGTCGCGCAGGTCGTACCAGATGGCGAAGAACATGCGGAGCACGTTGAAGCAGCCCGTCTCGGTTTTGGATGCGCACTCTCGGTACCGGCCGAGCGACTCGTCTCTGACGACGGACGTGGGAAACCCAATGTTGCCGCGCAGCCAGCCGCTGCCCTTTTGTTTCGGGAGCTGCCAGGATTCCTTTTCCTCGGATGAGTCGTCGAATCTCTGCCACCGTCGTCAATTACTCTCGTTCAGTTCTGTGTCCCGTGCCGTTGTGGTTTGCACAGTAAGAAAGAGTGGAGGGGGCTTGAACGTACCCATTCCATGCCGATGCCGCCTTGCGCGCGGGCTTCGTCTTCAGTCAGGTTGGGATTGCCCGATATGATGGAGAAGTCGGCGGGAAAGGGCTGGCGGTCGGCATTCTGGCCGTGGTAGTATACGTGAAAAATGGCCACCTTGACAGGAACCGTGGCGTTCTTGCTCACTTTGATACTGTTATATCAGCCAGATGTTCTACCAAGCAAAGCGTTGAATCCTCACCGTAATAGAGGGTCGGGATCCAGTACGAGCTGCGGTCGGCCTGGACGTTGCAGCTGCCGCAGCTCGCGCGGAGCTCGTCGGCCGTTACGGCGTCCGGACCGATCCCCCGGCTGCCGAAGAAGGTGTGCATGTGGCCATTCTCCTTGCCGGGCGTCGCGAGCGGGTCGATGCGCTCCCGCTTGAACGGAGCACAGGTGACGCGGAACTCGGCAGAGACTAGCGGCTGGAGACACTGGAGTACGAAGACAAAGAGGAACGAAATTCGTAAGGGGATTGAAAACATGGTGGCGGGTGAGTCGAACGCCGACTAAGACACACTGCGAAAGGAATGATAATGCAAGTTGGATGGTGCTTCTCCTAGACCATAAAAACAAGAGCGACAGCTTGACAAAACGAGCGAAAGCGATGCCACTGTGGACATGATATCTAGGGTGCACAGCCGTAGATATCTCTCAGGAGAGAATCCCTGCTGCCCAATCTCTACTTTCGAAACCAGGAGCCGCGCTGTTCTCCTTTAGGCAGAGGAGAGTTGGAGGATTTGGCGGCAGTTCGTCAATTTTCCACCTGATGGCAAGACATACCCTTGCCTTGAATCTCTGGACCCCTCATTAAGAGGAAAGAATGAGAGGAAAGGGGGCGCTTGGCGATGCTGAAACCACAACTGACAGCGCTAAAGATGCCCCCTGTCCTCATCCGCCAGCACGACCTGGTATCGATTGACCTCCAGGACCAGCAGTGAGAGCAGAAGTTTGTCAAGACATACAGCAGATAGATATTTCTTCTGATGAATCCCCATTGCGCGTGAATCAGACAGTGCTGCTTGGTGCTTTGACTGCCGCGCTCATGTCGTCAAGGAGAGCCCACCACCATCGCGGGCTCAAAAGTATCCAAGGATCTGACAGGGGTCACACATAACTCCCCGGAAGACCCATATATCATCACGGAGCCCGGCGCAAGTTGCGGACGACTACCCGGAGGCTAATACATGGTCAAAGCAGCTGCTGCTCTAGGACGAGGTCAACGGCTCGAGTGGTTATCAGATGGGCGTGTTTAGACTCGAAGAAAGATGGACCTTTGCATATTCGCACATGACATTGCTTGCGCGAGCCTTCAATTTACCAACTAAAACCACCATTATAGCTTCACGAGCCGGCTGACCATCGAACTGCAGCCAAGTGACGTACAGAACTCATCGCTGTCTAAAATGCTAGAACCCATATCGAGAAATACTATATCCCCTTTTATTTCTCCCCTCTTAAACAGGCGGCATCTTCTCCTTGAACTTTTCCTTGGCAGCCTGTTCAGGGTCAGGCAGTGCACCATGCCCACCTGCACCGTTTTCGTCGCCCACTGACGCCCGCGTCTTGCCCCAGCTGAACTCGTCGCAGTGGAGCAAAGCATAGATGGTAACAACGACGTTCATGAATGGCGAACAGGTCAGATAAATGAAGAAGCCGACCAGAAACCTGATGCGTGCTATCCTGTTGTGCGGGAACCACGTGACGATGAGCAAAGAGTACAGCTGCCATTCATTAGTTACCGTGTCAGACGTCATGATGAGCTGAGACAACTTACATAGCGGAAAGCGAGCACAGACATCAACCCGATCATGATGTGGTTCTCGAAAATCTTCTTTCCCTGTCGCACCAGCGCGATCGCAAAGCCAAACATGGCCGCAACGACGAATGGGCCCAGCCACCAGGTTGTCACCGTGATGAACGAGCACAGCCTTTCAACCCAGATGATGCCTGGACGGAAGACCATGACGAACTCATTCGATTTGCTGCCGAGTGCCCACCTCTTGCGCTGCGAGAGGTACACGGACCAGGATTGAGGGGCAGTCGTGTAAGCACGAGCACGCAGAGCCTGGCGAGTCTGCGACTTGGGATGGCGGGAGAAGATAATGGAGGCATGGATCGAGTCTTCAGAGTACACACCCATGATCTGCTGGGTCATGGTGTCATTGGGCTTGGGAACGTGGCCGAAACGCTCCCGCAGGACTGCATCGCCGAATGTGGCGTCTTGAACCCGGATGAGCTGACAGCAGCCTGGTAGGCAATTGACCTTTCCGGACACGCGAGACTGAAATTCTCGTCTCAATCCTTGCGTCAAGTTGTACTCTGTGTTTTGTAACAGGTTCCTATTCCGGAGGTTAGTCTCTGTGAACCACGCGAAGAAAGGCGGCTGAGACGAGGGTACTGACCACCAACCCCACGGCTTCTCGTCGAATTTGACGAGGACGGCACCGCAGACGCCGACAACATCAGGACCGCCGCGACGCAAGGCTTTGATGAGTTCGTACACACAGTCGTCATCAAACACAGTGTCGCCGTCCATGCCACAGAGATAGTCGATGGTATCCAGGCCATTGTCAGTCAGGATCGAACCCATGTAATCAAACAGGTCTGGGTTGAACATGGTTGAGATATCGGCCGAGCGGTTCTTGTAGTGCCACAGGAATGAACGGACGAAGCACAAGCTGTCACGCTTCCCCTGGTTGTGCTTCTTGCCGATGATGATATAAGGGACGCCGCGGTACTTTCCCTGCTGGATGGTGACAGGCATGAAGAAGCCATCACGGGCACTGTAGCCATTCTGGAACTCAATGCGCTCGCCGCCGGCAAACATGTCGTTCAGCAGGAAGTCTTGCGTGGAGACCTCTTCGCCTGGGGCTTTGGCGTTGCCGTCAACAATGACCATGATGAGACGTGGGTGCTCGTCGATGTTCTGTTGGTTGATGAGGGAGTTCAGACTTGTTTCCACCTCTTGACGGTCTTCGTTATAGCAGGGCAGGACCATGACAAACTTTTCGGGATTCTCGGGGACGACATCCTTTTTGAATCCTAGCTTCCGTCTCAAGGTGGTAAAGGTTGCTGCAATGGTGTTGGAGATGGCGAAGATGACTTGACAGAATGTGTTGGCGGCCAAGAAAGGCAGGAAGATGTACCAGTAGTGGTGATAATTCCAGAGCGCCCAGATAAAGCCGGCATTGATGGAGACAAAGCCTAGGATGAGACTGTATTTCTGGAGGCGCAGGAGAGAGCGCGAGACCTTCTTGAGCTCTGTGTCTGGGTGATATGGTGGCTTGGCATCCTCTTGTGAGATGCTAGATTGAAAGGAGCATGTGCTGCTGGAGAATGACCCAAAGATTGGTGGGGGAGGGGGTGGGCGCTGTCGTTTGTTAGAGTGAACAAGATTAAGCTCTCTCAACGTCAAGTACGCGAAGTAATGAGTTGGATGATAAGAAAGTGTCTTCGGTGACACGCGGATGAACAAAGTCAAATGGAGAAGTGACTTACAGTCAATGGCGCCGGGGGGGACTCAGGCTGGGTGTTACCCGGCCCTCCTTGATCTCCTCCAGATACATCAGCTGAGCCGCCAAGCACCTGGTCTACAGCCGGAAGAGGAGGAGCCTCCGCTGAAGTCCTAGCTGATGACGACTGTCTGGAAAGGTTCCTGAATGGATGGTGGAACTTCCTCTTCGCCGTAGGGGACACGGCCATAGACGTAGAAGATGAACTTCTGGTATGGCTCTTGGAGGAATTCTTGTCCCAATGACAGGCCACAGGCGGGGGTGACCTGGGTGTAGTAGGGCATGATGTTGCAGTGGAAGAAGAAGCGGCATGAGATGGACCGGCCTCTATGTCAATAGAAAGGCCATGATCCTTTGCTTGAGGCATGATTAAGTCGGTTGGATGATCACCCGGTCGTGTACAGGGGTGGAAAACAGACTTGAAGGAAGAGGTGATGGAGGGACGACGCTTGGGTGAGAGTTCTCCAGGGGTCTTGTGCTTGTCCAGGGAAGGGGAAGATAAAGAGCCAACTGTGCAGAGGACTGTCCAGAAAGACTTTTTTCCTCAACAGAAAAATACCGACATCGAGATGCGACGTGGCGAAAAAAGAGGATGAGGTAGCGAAGTTGGACCCTCGCGCTACGACGTCTGTTTGCAGACATCGCGGGAACATCCAGACGAGCCTATTCATGCACTTACCGCAGTAGAACGGTTGCCAGGCCAAGCTCAAGCCCCGGAAGGTCCGTAAAGTCAATAGAGACCCAACGACCAGGCATGCCGTACGACTGCAAGACCCCGCGACCAGCGAGCGGCCGGACCGCTAGCGATCGACAGGGAAAAAGGCCCAGACACGCGGGAGATTGACCGCGCAACCGACGTCAAGCATTGCAGCGGCGTGGCTACCAGGCTTGGCATACCGTTCGCAGCTTTCCCACGTGTTGCGGAGGTGATACAGTCTGCCAGTATCTGCCGTCGCGGTCGAGAACCACGGTGCCGAAATCCGTTCTGGGAAGGCCTCGAGCAAGGTCGAGACCGAAAAGGTCCGTGGAGATGATGGGACCCAGGAACAGTAATTGGCTGAGTTCGTTGACGCCCATGTGGTTTGACTAGCGTCTGTTGAAGAACGTGGTGGCCAAGACTAACCATTGTAGCCGAGCGACAGAACAGCGGCCAATGCGGGCTGTGGATTCGAGACATAGTCTCACCTCAACGTGATGGGTCTAGGTTAACAGCGGTAGCGCCACCTGCGTCGTTGGGGATTCCGACTCGCTTCATGAACGGGGGCGAGGCGTTTCTAGCGTTACCTTCCCTCGGGCCCTACCACGTGTGTCCGGATGAGGAAGTCGTTCGTCTCTCCGTCTTCTATGCCCCTGGGCGAAAGTCGTGATGGAGACATCGTTGTGTTGCATCGACTAGATCCGATTCGGGCTCATCTTCTCGATCCCAGAGACTCAACAGGTGTTTACAGACACCATCGTATGTTCGATTCAGTCTAAACAGTCCAGTTTTTTCAGCGCGACCGAAAGCAGTCCTCTTCCGGACGTGGTGTCATTGAAGTCCGTGGGCTCGACTGCGCAAGTTCGACTTCTGAGAGATCGGGAAGCCGACTTGGGCTCTTGGCAGACAAAATCCAGACTCGCGATGGCAAGTCGGGACTTCATTGACAGCGAAATACTGCCCGTCGTCGCTTCATCGATTTCCGCAAACGGTTGGGAGGCTTTGAAGCTCTCCGTGAAGTGGAATCGTCGGTGCCGAAGACAACATCGACGTTGAGCAGTTTCTCGCTCTGATGAGGAGAGTTTGAGAAAAGTGAGGAAGTCGGGTTGCTCTAGAAAAGGGACGGGCACCCGCTGTAGACTTTGCAGCTTCTTGTTGAGATCAGACCATCATCATCACGTTCACCATCCAGTTTTGATTACTTTAGATCATACTACTTCTGCCTTACCGGCTCCTATCATAATGGCTTCCATAATCTACACGGCCCCTTCTCAGCACCTTGCTCTGCTTGACATAAGCGATGCTACCCTGAAAGGACCCTCAAAATACGACTGCCTTGAGACAGTGCTTCCCCTGACCCCACCACCCGAAGAAGAAGATGTGCATAAGATCGTCACCCCAGACATCGTCACGCCGATCACCCAAGATTCAAACCCCCTGATTGCCGTGATCGGCGTGGGTTACGTTGGCACACATCTTGTCAGCAACTTTTCTCGTCACTGGGACGTGCTTGGCTTCGACGTTTCGGAGAAGCGCATTGAGCAGATTCAACAAGAAGACGAGTTCCGTACCAATGAGAGAGTAAAGTTCAGCGCTCAGCGACCTGATCTTTCCGAGGCCACACATTTCCTCATCTCTGTACCTACGCTGCTTCTTCCCAACAAGACCGTCGATGCCTCCTATCTCAAGGATGCCATTCAGACTGTCTTCAAGCACGCTCGTCCCGGAGCCACAATTGTCATTGAGAGCTCCGTCGCCATTGGAATGACACGAGAGCTGCTTGGTCCCCTGGCCAAGGCCCGCGGGTGCTTTGCAGGCATGTCGCCCGAAGTAAGTCTAGATTCTCCGTGCCCACTCCTGCCACACCACCACCAAGGGGGACCCTTGACCGACCCGAGCTAATCACCTGTCCTCGCAGCGTGTTGATCCAGGCCGCACGGAGCCCCCAGCATACCTCATCCCCAAGGTCATCTCGGGCCTGGACGATATCTGCCCCGGATCGCTTGCGGCTATCACCCGCATCTACGCGCCAGTCTTCAACACCCTGGTCCCAGTCTCTCGTCCGGAGGTCGCCGAGCTGACCAAGCTCTACGAGAACTGCCAGCGCATGATCAACATTGCTTACGTCAACGAGATGGCAGACGCATGCGTCGGTCTCGACATTGACCCTTACGAGGTCTGCAACGCTGCGGGCACCAAGCCCTTTGGCTACATGGACTACAGGCCAGGCCTGGGCGTTGGCGGCCATTGCATCCCTGTCAACCCCTGGTACCTCCTCTCTGGGTGCGAGATGCCCCTGCTGAGGAACGCCGCCGAGAGGATGAACAAGAGGCCCCGGGCCATCGCAAAGACATATACCGAGAACATTGGCAAGTTCGCGGGAAAGAACAGCGGCAAACCCCGCGTCCTCGTGGTGGGCATGGGATTCAAGCCCGGCCAGAGCGTTCTCAGCTACAGTCCTGGTCTAGAACTCGCCAGGGGGCTGGTCGAGGACAGTGATGAGCTCGATGTCATGTTTGCTGACCCACTTGTCTCACAGAGTGCGCTTCCTCAGATTCAGAAGCTTGATGATAGATCATGGAACGTTGAGACTTTGAACGAGTTTGATCTTGTCATTGTTGTCATGAGGCAGCACGGGGTCGACTTTGACATTTTGAGTCAAGCGAAAGATGTCCGCGTTAAATGGTGGTGCTCTTAAATGTATCATAGAAGGATTTGAGGAGGATCGGTGGTTGCTTTTACTCGCGGATTTCGGGAATTAAAACAATAGGAGGCGTTCTCTGGTATTTCCCAAATTCTTCACTAAATTTCAACCTTTTGAAAAACAAAGATGAGTCCTGTGATGCTTTGGAATGCTGTGCCAAAATTGACTCCTGTTCACAGGCCTGAACTGTCGCGAGTCGCGGCTATTTCTTCGTAAATGACGCCATTCACCATAGGTGAGGTTCGGTGACTGTTCAATGGGCGCGGTTCGGCTCCGAAACCTCAAGGATTCCAGCGCTTGAGCGGCGCCAGCTGAGACATACAGCGTCATTGGGCTGGTTGGTGCCAGAAGATAAGAGCCGAGGCGCCAATATAGTAAGTGCCGATCTCCTCTCCCTTGCCGATGGTAACAGTCACTTGCCATTTGGATCACTCTTCAACCATCGAAAAAACGCGTTCCTTTACGATCATTGGTGGATGCTGGGGCATCGTCCCATGTCTCTCAATTCCCCGACGTTCCTGGCGAACTAGGCTTTGCTGTCTCTGGTTAGGGCGACGGACCTCACTCCGTGGCCGCACGTTTCGCCCGCCTACCAACGCCTCAGGGGGGCAGCACGCGGGTGACAGCGCCTCTCCCGAGCTTAAGACGAGTGCGTGGTTCCGCGGCTCTCGCTGTCTTGCATAAATGGCGTGACTGGGCAGAATCGTGCCTGTCCTCATCTCTGGGTCCAGTCACAACAACGCCAGAGACATGTAAATACGTCACGCCGCCTGCACTTAGCAAATGGTTCCAAGTCCTTTGGGAGGCCCAAGCCGTACTACCGGGTTCCTCCATGCCAGTCCACGTATTTCCCCAGTGATAGTGGAGCAAACCTTGACTTGATAGCAGCAAATCTGCCCGTTTAGGCGAGACTTAAGCGAGCGAGATACCCGTCCTAATCCTGCACGAGTCGTGTTACCCCCCGATATAAGCGCGAAGTAACTCTGATCACGACTCATTTTCTCCGGAAACGTACCGCTGCAGCTCGTTTCCCGTCCACTCTCGGAGCCTCGCCGTAAGCTCATCGTCTCGATCAGCAGGCTGCTCCAGTCAAGTGACTTGAAGTGCTCTCCACTCCTTAGCCTCTTTGCTGTAACCGATGCCAGAAGATGGTTTCTCACCCCTTACACTGGTGTGGTGCTGGTATCACTAGTTTGACGACGTTCCCTATCCGGCGAACCAACGGGAAGAACCCTCCGTCAGATTCGTGAAAGCAACGTCTGGTTGGATGGCGACTACCATGAGAACGGGGCGGTTCTCGGCTAGATGGCCTTGGGAGAGAATTCTGGCGAGCTTGCTCCTGTTGCTGTAGCCCAGGACGCTTGGAATCTCGCTTGTAGTCTTCAAAGAGGCAGTGCCAATATTTGAGTTGCCAGCATGTCGATGAGCATCGGACACGGGTGAGATGACGCGCTGAGAACTGCTAGGCCGGGCCTGGGCCGTTCTTTTCGAGACCGCGGTTAGGTGAGTGAGTGGTGAATAACGCGGGATACATATGATTTCTTCCGAACTACAGCCCATAGCCTGCTTTTGTGAGACCCTACGGCGTCGCCGTGATGCCGGCATTGCGCATAAGTATATCACAAGCGATCCGAACCTGAAGAAAAGATCTCGACAGCATCGACAACTAGCTCAAGACAGAAGACAGATCGGGCTGCAAAACCTGAATGTCGCCGTCAGCCTGGCTGGCCTCACCCAAATTGCGTGCTGTAAGTCAGATTGCTGCTGGCCCATGATTTGAGTACTCAAGATCTAACTTCTTGCCCAGACAGCCCCTGAGACTAGAAGGACTTCTTCTCTAAGAGAGGATATGTCTCTGGATGGAGTAAACGGGCATAATTGCCGCTCAGTAAGTTGCTGAGGCCGAAAAGCGCACCTGTGGCTATTCTTGGCGAGCTTGATCATGGGAGGCTGGGTGGCAACAGACCTGAAGAGCTCTGTATGTAGCAAGTCTTGATTTGGGCGTCTTGTATGCTTCCACTCATTATCATGGCTAGTGTCACCATCGCATGTAAACGGTTGAAGGTTGTGCCCCAAGTATGGATTTGCCACTCAATTCAACTTCACCACGGTCCCGGGGTGTCGACCGTCTCCAGAATGCAGTTGCAGAAGGTGAAATTGATGAGAACACTACTGTCGATGCATACATTGCACACAAGCCCTCATTGTGCCGTGCAGAAGAATGGCGCCGAATGATCCCTCGAACACCCGTCGCAAATATGCCGGCTTGATTGGCCTTCCTCCTCGGCGCCATATGGAAGACGTGATAGTTGGATATCGACGGTCATTATTGGTAAACCAATGAAAACGCCGCCCAGCGACCGTCTTTGAATTTTCATGTGCGACAAATCTACAGCAACTTCGTGCTCTCCCCTTGTTGTGGCTCCAAGCTGGAATGCCTGTCATAACTTCGATCAAATATCATTGGCGACCTCACTAAATGGAGGTCCGGGTGCTCCGAACGCAAGCAACACCGCGCGACGTGCAACTAGCGCCTCCCACGTTGCAGAAATTGCGTGTGTAACGGGCGGCCATGCTCATACCTCGCACTCTTGGCGGTCTTGCCCTGCCGGTCTCGTCCTGAGGAGCCCCGGCCGACACTGACCCCCAGCCATCCACAATCAGCCCATTCGCCGAATGAGGGGATTGAAAGTGCCGCGTCTTACTGTGTCGTCGCGGATGTCGGTGGGAAGAACTCGTGGACGCCTGAGACATCGTCTCTCCCTTCGCCAGGGGCGATTCAGACCTCTCGCTAGCTCTGCTCCCGAAGTATCCGGCGGTAGGCCCCTTGCAGTCTGATTGTCCACCCTAGAAGCGACGTCCTTTATCGCTTCCACCATTCTGAGCTGTTCCAATATTTCAAACGCCACCTCATGACAGTTCTGTGCGATGACCACCTAGTTGTCGATAAGATTTCAGAACTCAGCCTCACAGTGACCCTACAGTCTCAATCCCCATTGGACCAGATACTTGCCATTTTGGTGACGCAAAGGCGAACGACCGTGACAGGCAACCTGTGGGGCGAATACGGAAGCAAAACGAGAGCGCGCCAAGTTCCTCTTTGGCAATCTCCGCGGCCAGCAGGCCCTTGCCGCCGCTCTCACTGTCGAGGGGAGGCTGTCACCGGCCAGTGCTGGACACCTTTCCCTATTTCGTCCGTTTGCAAGAAGATATCCATACCGTCGTCCGTACGATTCATATCATGCTAGCCCACATTCTGTCTCATATGGTTGTCGAGGAGGAAGACATGGTAGACATTCTGGAGGGTAGTCAAGCCGTCGAAGAGTCCAAGTCACTCGCTAGCTGCTCCACGCCAGAATGGCCACAAAGCCAGACCTGGGGATATATACGCTTGCGACGCTGACGTTTCCAAAGATACTCGAGCGACGACGGCGTGTGAGGATGGTAAGGAACCGCCATGGACATCTGAAACGGCCATTAAAGCCACGAGTTTTGAACGACCTAGCCCGACCTCTGTAGCAACAGCTGCTACAGATTTTCAATACATCTCATCAGTTGGACCTTTAACCATGTCCGAAACCGTTGGGGTATTTCAGACACTGGATCCTTCTTAATTGAGAGCGTCACATGGCGATTAGGAATCTTCTGGGCATACTGGCTGGAGCGGCCGAAGAGGATGATGCTTGCGTAAAGTTTGGCTGATTCAAGTACATGTCACTTCACTGTATCGAATTCAAGGGCGAATCTTTCATTCCTTTGATGCCTTGATGGCTACGGGCCGTTCGCGCCGCCTCAAGTCCGGCTGTATCTCTGAAGAGTGCTCATATCTCGTGAATCATTTGTCTTGTCCCATTTCACGCTCAGAAGGTCAGCGTCTGGCCAGCCACGCCGACAACGGCAGCTTTGACGTTGGCAGATCCCACAAGCTTGTACGAGTAGGGCGGGCTGCTTGCCGTCAAGGTGCCGACCTGGGCCTGGTTCTGGCTCTTGCCGGTGAGAACGACATCCTGGGCAACAACATATCTGTGCATACTGTCAGAAACGTGTTATAGATGAGCCGAACTGGGAGGCTTACCCAATCTCTTTGCTTGATTCGGAGAAGATGGCCTTGGTGCCGACGTTCTCGAAATAGCTGCTCTGGATGAGAGCCTGGGCGCCCATGCGGGAGTTCAGGCCTGTGTCCATGGTGTCGAAGTAAGTGCTATAAGCTTGGTCAGCCTTTGTTAATACCGAGAGCCGTACATAGGCTTCCGCATACTTGTAAATGTGGGCAACGCCAAATCGGAGGAGAGGACCACGGCTGCGAATGTTGTACCAGTGGTTGTTGGCATATGTTACGTGCAGGGTCCCCTTGTCCTCTGCGGCGTTGTTATCGGAGTGGCCAACGAGCGACCCCTTGGACTTGAAGGTGTGTTAGCAAGCCGCACGTGATGAAACAGAGACGTCAAGATAACTTACGTGGTCGTGGAAGTATGTGTTCGAAATCGTGACCCAGTCAGCAGCGTGGGACAGATCTGTGAGACCGTCGTAAAAGTCTTTGTCGCCGGAGCGTGTCGCCGAAAGGTCGCAGTGGTCGACCCAGACATTCTTGGACAGTTGAATGGTAATTGCGTCGCCGTAGGCGTTTTCGACCTTGCTAATAGCCATGTTGCGAATGATGACGTTCTTCCTTCCCAGAATGGTCAGGCCGATGCCCTCGAGAGCTGCTACTGTCAGGCGCTGCGGCTATGTTCGGACTTGCAGGGCACTTACAGCTGCCACGGGCGCCGATGATAGTCTTGTCAGAACCAACCTGCACCTTGGCGGCGCCAGTAATCTTGCCGGAGACGATGATAATGGCGGGACCCTCGGCGACGGCGGCTGCTGTCAGAGCAGCCAGAGTAGTGACGGTCGTTGTTGTACCGCCCGCGCCACCCTTGGTGCTGCATTATATTAGTGCTATCACAACAGACAGACAGACAGACAACACCATAGCAGCTAGGAGTAGAGGATTCCCACATACCCGCCATTCTGTGTGCAGTAGCCAATGTTGCAGGCATCCTGGACCGATGCCCTCTTTGAGAGGACCTGCGCCGGCGACGCCGATACCAGAGTTGCCAATAAGGCGAACGAAGCAAGGCCGGTAAATTTCATGATGAGAGCGAAAGGCGATCCAAAAGCGTAATATGTACAGTTGAAGGCTCAAGCAGCTTGCGTTTCAACTTTCATCAGTTCCATCTTCCCGGCACTGACCCTCCTTTTGTACCTCTTCAGTCTCTTGGTCTCTATATCCGATACACTGCGGGCAGCCAGCCCAAGGTGGGCTACACAAGGAAGTAATCCCCCCAATAGGACATTGGCGTGCCATGTACAGTGATCGCTCTGGTAGGGGAGGTCCTTAATAAATGGTATGAAACAATCCACCAAGGCCATGATAGGCCATGATCGACACCGAGAATCATGGGACGACAGCACCCCACGGGGTCGATTTCACTGCTTCCTGATATGACAGACACTTTTCCGCCGTGTCAGCGAAGACCTGGGCGGAGAATCATTCTGTTGGTGGATGATTATCTGGGGTACATGCCTGAAGATCTTCCCGACGCATGCTGCGATTCGTGATGTGATTTGCCAAGTATCCGGGGTCATACATGGCAGCCCGCTTGGGGTAACGGAACCTGCAGTGCCGCACCAGTGCCGTCAGGGACGGGAACGATCGGGAGATCTTGTTTCCACGATAAGTGTAGCTTCATGTTCTTAAGCTTGCAAGCATGCTTAAAACCTCGCCATATCGTGGGTAGAAGTAGCCTGCAGTCGCGTCTGATTTCGGCACTCGGCAAGTAGGGCTCGTAATCGCGAGTCGACCTTCCTCACCTTGCCATGTAGGTCCCCTCCAGTACACAGAGACTTGCTTGTCGACCGTGAATGAGGAATGGATTCGGGAAATCATATGAAACTGTTGTTGAAGGATTACCACCGAAGCCTGAAAACACCCGATTCCAATCAGCAAATGACCTAAGCTTTCTGAGCTTGATGCACAATACTCGACATACATCCTAGCATGATTTCCAGGGGAAGTCCACCAAAGCTGGGCGGCAGCAATCAACCTGGCAAGCCTGGCCACAGATGCGGGGGACCGTTGGCGACATGGATTCGTCGGCGAAGACCCTCAAACTGCAAGTGGGAGACGCGTTCCAGCTGCGTGTACATAAGCAAGCAGACAAGCAAAAGCAAAGCTTCCTCGGCATGACCTCAGGGCCAGATCACGGGGTAAAATCCTCCTGCTAGGGCTGAGCCCACCAACCAAGGCCAGCCAGAGCTGACATGCACGATGACCATCGGGCGAGCCAAGCGAACCTAGCCCGGCGCGCAATGGTTCCTAATGCGGAAGGCGTTTGGGGCGACCATTGGCTGCGCCGCCCAGCATTGTCGTCACGATTTGGAACAACTTTGCGATGATAGTGTTGAGAAGGATTGTGTTCCAATCGAACATGATGTTGATCGAGGGATCGCGATGTCAAGAAGATGCCCCTGCGCCGCCGGGCGATGTATATGTAGTGCAAGTCTGCCAGTGGTCAATGTCTCGCGATTGTGTCCTTGTTCTCATCAAAAAACCCAAACCGCCGACCAAGACGAAGACAGAATCATCATATCGCATATGACCAGCAAAGACACAATGCCTCATCCAATCTACCAAAGAACCTTTGCAATCCTTGCCCTCCTCCTGAACTCCTCCCTCTCCGCAGCCTCCAAAACCAACACACAACTCCTCCCCCGCGACGACGAACCCGGCCTCCTCTCCCGCCTCGACAAAGGCGAGCGCATCGCCGTCGGCGTCGGCATCGCAATCGGCGTCGTACTCATCGTCATCGGTTCGATCTGGTGCTGCTGTTGGCCCTGCCGACCTGTGCCGCGACCGCGGAGCCCCGACCGTTTCCATCGACACGAAGGAGCAGCGGGAGCGGACCCCGAGCAGGCCCAAGTCGACGGTGGATGGGTCGTTCAGCGACGAGGAAATGGCGGGAGGGCTGAGCTGGCGGATACTTCGGATGAGCTGAATAGGGTGCACGATCCGCGGGAGGCGCCGCCGCCGTACGAGAGTGGTGGCGCGGCAAAGGATGGTGGACGGAAATAGGCTCGTAGACCAACTCGGGGTACGTGGAGTCGGCGGCTGGACTGGAGAGGAAGGGAGGGACAAGGAAAGACAGAGCATCTCCGAAAGCCATCGTCAGCCCCATGTCACTAGACATCACCCGCAGCACTTGGTGGAAAGGCTCAAGGTCTATTAACGGTTACACAATTCAGCTGCCGCGGTATCATGCCTAATAACAATCCTGCAATGCAATAACTGTACGAACCATGTCCCTTGTCTACAGAAGGACTCCGTTGCATGCGTCCCATTCCTACATGCCTCGGTCATGCCCTGCTGGGCAAGAATACCTCTCCAATTTGATACGCTCGCGCATTCCCTATGCGAAGTAACTCTTCCAAAGAACCCCCTCCAGGGCATCTAGTTGCTCCTCCGTAAAGTACTAGGGAAAGTATTGTTAGTCGAGCGCCTACGGTCAAGGCGGTCCAGAGTGTTGTCGCTTACCTTCTTGTCTACACTCCAGCTATCTTGCCTTGTCTTCTTGAAGTCCGAGAGGATCGATTTGGTAGCCTTGCCCACGACGCCAGGGTCGCTAGCTGCTCCATTCGCAAGTGTGGCTAGCACCTCTGGCATCCACGTGGGCGGTGGTGTAGCGTACGGGAACGCTTCCACCAGGGCACCGAGACCAAGCACAGCGGCATGGCGACGGGTAACTTGCTTGTGCGAGTCAATTGGCGTCTCGGTGCCAGGCAACTTCTTCTTCGGCATCGGATTCGTCCGGAGCTGGGACTCGAAGCGGCTCTTGAGTAGCTTGATGGTTGGACCACGAATGCGCTGGGGCGAGCAGCGGACCAAGCCGGCCAGCGTGTTTGACGCGCAGGTCCTCACTTCCAATTGCTGGTCCGCCAACATGTTGCTCACGGCATCGAATAGCCTACCTCTCTGGTCCTTGTTGGTGAGGAACAAGCGTCGGAAGTAAATGACCTGCATGTTGACGAGAGCACGCAGGCGTTGATGCCAACTGGGCGACGTCCTGCCAATGCGAATTAATGCATCGATAAAACTATCGTCCTCCCCAGCACGGAAGGGGATGTTTGGCAGGTGACGATACACATGGTATGCAAGCTTCATAAGCTCGGGGTCTTCCTTGACGTCCATCATGTGCAGCAGCTGTTCCATGAAAGGCTGCGGGAAGAACTGAACCAGTTGCGTGCAGTCCTGTTGCGACAGCGCCGAGTCGAGCCACGTGAGCACCGTCTTCGAACCAGCAGTGTAGGAGGATGGCGTGTTTTGACCGGGCGTTCGTTCATGCCGCCACTTCTCGATGCGCTCGAAGACCTCCAGGATCGTAGCTGTAAAGTCTTCAGTGGGCTGGTACGGACGAATGCCGATCGAGGACGCTTCCTTGTTGGCCGCTAGTAGTTTTTCAACGGTCTCGTACGATTCATGGTACCGTGTGCGATATATGCTTGCGATAACGCGGCCCATGGCCTCCCGCACAGTTTTGTAAGGATGATCGAGGTGAGCGAGGAAGTCCTCGAGAATCGGCTTCTCATGGCGGAAGTGCCAGCCAAGATCGGAAACAGCCGACTCAAGCAGCTGAATCTTGGACGCCTCTTTGAACGCCGCATTGGATGACATGTCGAGACGGAAGGAGACGAGATGCTCGATGATCTCCTGAGATCTTCTAGGGTCCTTTGAGCCCATGATAAGATGCAGGCAGGTCAGCCAGTACATGAGATTCTCAGGCGTCAGATCTTCGCCGATAATCTTCAACAGCATCGGCGCTGCAAAGGCCCAGACCTTCTGGCGGAAATCAGGCGGGTCGTCGGAGGACCCTGTCAACAGAGCACCCAGGATTTCAGCAGTGGCGCGGTGCTGGTGCTTATCACTTCCGTCACCATACGTCTCCTTGGTGAGCTCTTCGACGTCTGCGAGCGTGACGGTGGTGCCTTCATAGTGCATCAAATCGAACACGTGCATAAGCATGAAGACGTTTGTCATTCGGAAGCGGTCTGCGCTCGTGTCCCGAGGCTCTTGTTTGAGGTACTCAAAGCACGTCCTCATCCATTCTTTGTTGATGATTGCACCAATCTGCTGCCGCACAGCAGTCTCGACCTCATCGTAAGCTGTGAAAGGCATGGGCTTGGCTCGATATGCGACAAATTGCTTGCCCCAAACCAGCCATCCTGGATGGTCCGTGTTTACCATGTACTCTGGAGTCTCAGGCTTCGAGAACGAAGACAGAAACCTCTCCGTGAACTCGGCGTCTCCTTGCGGAACCGGTACGATGACCTTGTTGCGGTCCTTTTCTTTCTCCAGCAGGTAGTTCTCGTACTTGTGGTCGTATGCAGCGCGCATGTCGATGGCTTCGAACAGAGTCGTCAGTGCCGAGATGTAGTGCATCCTGAGGCCCGGGTGCGTGTCGTTTGCCCCCTTGGCGATAAGGTCGACGAGCTCGGCAGGTGCCAGTGTGTTAAACCGCAGGGAAAGGTTGATGGCGAAGATGACGCATCGGCCCGCAATCTTCCAGTGCGCCCCCTTGGACCATTCCGTGAGCTCCAGGCCAAGGGCAGCCTTCTTCTTCTCGACGCGAGCTCGGCGGCTGACGATAAAGCTGTGGCGAGAATCAATCGCTGATGCGCAATCAGACGGAGGTTTGATCTGGTCGACAAGGTCGCTGTTCACAATGATCATGCGCTCGAAGGGCTTGCCAAAGTCAAACATTTGGTAAACAGCCCCGGCCACCAGGTTCTGAATACTCGGCTTGTCAATATTACCGGCCTTCATGTACAAGCGCAATGCGTCGGGAGCGAAGCGCCAATCCTTCACGAGTGTTTTCAACAAGCTCGTGAAGAAGAGAGTGTAAAGAGCGCCCTTGATGCGGTCGTGGTCCACAGCTTCGATGGATGTGCGAAGCTTCTCCATGATGATTGGAATGACCATGGGGCGACCGCCAATCAGGGCCTTGAGGGACGACTCAAGTGAGCTCTGCGCCACTCGTCGCACGTCGGCATATAGCGACGTGCAAGACTCGGCCAGATCCAGCAGCAGACGTTTGTCTAATTCGCTCTTTTGCCTTGCCGAGGCATTGTGTTTGACTCGCAGGAGCTGGTAGGCATCGGCTCTCTTGATGAGCAGAGGTCGGGGGTAAATCTTTCGAAGTCCACTAATCTTGAAGGCAGCAATGTCCGACTTGTAGAGGCGGAGGTGCCTCTCGAGGGGGTGGGCTGAGCGCTCGATGCCGACGTCAGTGATCCAGGTCCGGTACGCAGCATATAGAGCGGTAAAACAAGGCACGTCATCTTCCACGCTTGTGTTCAGGAAGTGATGTGTTCTGGATAGAAGGCGCCCGAGATCTTCCCTCAGGTCATGTATTTTCCGATAGGCCGGGTCGTCAGACGACAGCAGGTATCCGGCTTGGTAGCGGTACTGAGGTCGAGTCTCTTCATCTTCGGCAGCTTCCGCAAGAGGATCGTCACTGTCATCCTCCATGGGAACATCGCCTTCGATATCCGCTCCGGCAGATGAGCCCACCGCACCATTCAGGCCCCCGGAGGCGCGCTTGGGATCAAAGAGCGTGGCCATGCCGGAGATCACGAGTCGGATCTGAGATAGAAGTCTCGACACTTCGTCGGACCACTCCTTGTTCTTGCCTTTCCTCGGCACAGGGGAGTTGTCGGTCATGAGTAAATCGAGCTTCTCCGCGGCACCTTTGGTCTGGGCATCGAAAAGCTCTACAGCAAACTCGATCTCCTGGGGAGACGGCCGGTGCCACTGGATCGATAGATCTGCGGGCTTGGTAGTCTTGCCCCAGTCGTCAACGTCAAGTCCCCGCTTGAGCACGCTGGGCTCGTATAGCGCATTGTCGAGGGGGTAGGTGTGTGTAAGGTTAAGTAGCAGGTGGTGGATGTAGTTCGAAATGTGGATGGTGGGAAGTCCGCGACACTTTTCCTGCATGTATTGCGCAATCGAATACAACTCCTGCTTGTACTTGACGACCTCGCCGCCGACATGGACAACGACCATACCTAGCATGCTCACGTGCCAGACGAGAGCACGATCACGCGGCAAATAATCTGTGCCACTGCTCCGGTCCGAGGCAGCGTGGTTGTAGTCGATCTCGTTGCGGATGTTGGCGATGAGCATGGGAATGAACACCTTCAGTGTCTTTTCCGGGTTGACTTTGCACAGAGCATTTAAGATCCAGGCCATTGCATCTCGTGCCTGGTGAACAACATGCGTCGACACGAACGACGAGAGCTTCTCCAGCGCAAGGTCAAACAACTCTGGCGAAAGAGAGGCGAAGAGCGGAGACAGAGCGGCAGGCAAGGCGTTGATGACGTTGTCCTCTGGTGTGGTACCGCGCAGGTGGGAAGCGTCGGGCAGGTTCTCGAGCAGCGTAAAGACCTTGCCCAGAAGCGCAAGCACGAACTCGCCCATGCCGAGCGTGGACGACCTCAAGATTGCGGCTTCGACCTCATCCGAGAGCTCAGTCGCATAGTCGATTTCAACATGCTGGCCTTCACGCTCCATGCGTTCCATCTCACCCTGCACCCACTCCTCTGCCAGCCTGGTATCATGTATCTCGCTGCCCTTTTTCACAAGGGGCACCATGGGAATGCTGTACGCTACGCTCTGGATGAAGTTCAGAGTGTGTTGCGTCTTTCCGAGATCGTTCGCGTCGATGCCCGGCAACGAGAGCGCCAGGAGGGCAGTGATGTGGCAGCGGAAGCCCTTCTGCTTTGACATTGTGTTGGCAATCATCTGCAGA